GATCATCAATAAGTGTTCTTTTGTGTTAATGTTGCAAGCTGTTCTGTGAAAGAGCTGGTTGGTTAGGCTTGCTTCAGACTGGCTGGTGCTAGGATCTGGGCAGATTTATGACGTTGTCTTGTTGTCCTGGGCCTCTTTGTGGAATTTGGTTCTTTGGGTTGTTCAACACCAATCTGATCAAATCTTGAATTTTCTGATTCACTCTTATACCCTACATGCTTAAGTTGCTTCACTTTGGATAGACAGCTACTGATCTGTAAAACGCACTAGTATCAGTGTAATTTACATGCAACTCGGAGACGATCATGCTTATCTATATCATTAGACGGCAGTGCAGTGCGTAACACCGCAGTGATATCAGTACACAAGCAGTGATGGGAAGATTGGATCATTCTACTGACTTAGACCATGAAGGAGCAAAGAACCGAGTCGTTCGGTCTTTTGTCAAGTGAAAGTCATACAGACTATGAACAGGAAACAGAAATTATTAGTTCAGTCCCAAATTATGGGTTCTTTTGAAATGCTGCATAAGAAATGATGGCCATGATAGGAAAAAGAAAATTTAGCCTATAAGGAACTTGTTTTCTTCAATGTGCACATGCCTTAAAGCAGTGTTTAAGCTTTATTGTGTGACAATATTTATAAAGTTATTAAAACAGTGTGATAATAAATGTTGTATATATTGTATATTTTGTATGTCTGTATTTTGGAACAGACCAGACAGAAGTAGGGATTCAGGAGGGGAACTAATTGCATATAGCACATGTGGCTCTCACGTGACGAAATAACAAACGATTCTCGGACCAGAACTCTGAATCAAGAACGAAGAACTAATCAATTCTGATTCCTGTGCCAGAATTCTGCAGAGTGCTGTAAAGATTCCTCTGATTGAAAAACAAAAACCTAGCATGAGAAAATGTCTAGATACGATTTTAAGCTGTACTGCACATCCCTAGAGATAATCCAAAGTATTTCTTGAATAACTGAGTAAATACATATGGTGACGCAGTGAAGTGGTGCACGGCTGTATTTGTGTGACTGTAGATCTCTCTCTCTCTGTTAATGGCAGAGTAAAATGAGGGAGTTTATGCCTTTAAGCACCTGCTGCTGGCAGTGTGTGTGTGTGTGTGTGTCTCTCTCTCTCTCACACACACACACACACACACATTCTCTCTCCTGAAGATGTTTTTTTTAAATCGTGTACCAAGGCAAGCAGCATAGCTGAGACTGGAGAGCGGCTTGGATATTTTAAACACACACAAGCAGTGAAACACACTGTAACTCAGGGGTGCCCAGTAGGTCAATCGCGATCTACCAGGCGATGGATGGCAAAGGCAATGCAAGTAGATCGCACATCATTTAAATATGCTTAGGTCAGTGGTTCTCAACCGGGGTGTGGGGGCGCGAGATGTACTTATAATATTTTAAAAGCAAATATATGTAGCAAATTAGCTCAAAAGTTAAATGTACATAAATAATTACAATTAATTATGATTAATTACAATTATTTATATCAGCTGCCAGTAGTAACTGTAGCAGAATTAAATTGCCATCAACTAATCTGTTCTTCCAGCGAACATTCAGTGCAAGTTCATATCAACTGTAGGAAAGGATATTTTCGTGGCCACAGAAAATACTTTCATACAGTATTAATGCATTAGAGCATGTAACAAGGATCAAAATCGTAAAGGGACATTAATTTGCAAGGCAGAATCAGAAACTCATGTAATTTGTGCACAAGAGTTTTATTAACTAAACACTAACACAAACTAGTCTAACAAACAAACAAACAAACAATCACTCACTCATACATGGGAAAGGGCAAATGAGATTTGGATGAAACCATCAGGAAAACCAGAGAATGAAGCTATGAAAAGAGTCAGTTAACCACCTAAGTGAAACCATCAGCGCCGTTTTAGAACGGGGTCTATAGCTTATACAATATTTAAGACATTTTAAATAATTTGAAAATGGATTAAAAAATAAATGTGTAAAATAAACATATTTATACATTAAATTACAAGTATTTTTCACAAATAAATAAATATTTAATAAAAATATAATTAAAAAGGAAGTAAACACTGTAACCAACAAGGCACTTAGTATTCTGGGAAGTTTGTGTGCATTGGGAATCATATTTTTTCAAATAAAGCCAAGGTAAGACTCATTTTACATACAGCACACAGTGAAAATGACATGAATATGACAGAGGGCAAAAGCATGAAGCGCAGCATAATTTGAAATCATGAGTTTGAAGTTAGTCGATCACACGTCTCCAGTGAAGCTGAACTCTCCTCCGGTCCGCATTCAATTCACACGGACCGACCGTCACGCAGAGAACACGCAATCATGCAGGATACACATGCACACTTCACAAGATCTCACAGCTGAATTTGACTATGTTTGCAAGATTTTTTTAAATGAAATGTTCATTAGTCATTCAAAGATTTGTTTAAATTATATAAATGCGTATTTGCTGAATGCTGATAGAAAGTCAAACATTATAATACTTTCTCGTTTTCCATTACTAATAATATGAAAGCAATTGTTATAATACTTTTTTGTATACATTTTAATTCTTTTGTTTAACAATTCTTTCTGATTATTAGACAGATTTCTGTCCATATTAGACAGGACTGTTAACGACGACAGCGAACAAGTAGAATGTGAACACTGTGTGCGCCGTCAAAATAAAAGTCCCGCCTCGAACACATCGGCCAAACAGAAAAACTTATCAGCCGATGCCGATATTTAAAAAATGCCAAATATTGGTCGACCGCTAATCAGATGGTTTGTCTTTGGTTGCCATGAAACCAGAGGCCTGTTCTGCCCTTTTGAGGTGTTAGTGGCATTTCGGGGGAAGGGTTCAAAGACCCTCATGGTTGGCCCTTTTGTTAGGTGAGGGGGCATTAGATATTATTTGATAAATATAGTTGTGTGTCTGATTGGTCCAAATGCTACATATAAATAAATAACAGCACCACCTCTCTACGTATTCTGTGATATTCTATGTTTCGAACAGCAGCTTAAAACACCCGACCGCTGCATGAGCATATGATAAGCAAACTACAGCTCTCGGCTGGATAAAGCAAGCCAGTATTGTGCTTGTCAAGTTTTGATGGATGACGACTGTAATCAAGGTAAAGATGATTACAGTGACATACATTATGCATGCGTGTGTCCGTTATTATTGATGCGCAAATTAACCGTGTATGTGCGCTCTCAGTTCAGTGAATTCACATAGTTGTATACAGCGTATTGTATACAGTGTTTTATAATGGATGCTCACATGTTTTAGAGAAGTTTGTGAGGATCAGTGGTGTTTATGTACATATGGGCATCAGATGCTCCAAACACAAGAGGAACTATTCACTGATGACATCGAGCCGCCTTCAGATCACTGAGTTCAGAACGGTTTTATTTCTCATTTGGATTTTGGTGTGTTTAGTGATTCTGAATGGATCCGTAGTTTATATGCAGTCCTTTGGTATCTTCATGTCGTCTTGTTTGGTATGGCAGGTTGACTTGTGCTTATTTGTTAAAATTACTGTAGAATTGAGCTTTACATACTTTTAAGTTGTACAGAATATCTGTAGGTTGGGGGGCCTTGCAGTATTGATTTGGAGAGGAGGGGGTCTTGGAGTAAAAAAGGTTAAGAACCACTGCTTTAGGTAAATGCAGGCCAAGTTTTATGGGATACTAAGAATTAGGGCTTGGCGATATGGTCAAAAAATTTATCACGATAATTTTTTCCATATCAGTCGATGTCGATAATTATCACGATAAATGTCAAATCTTTATTTCTTTCCAATTTAAAGCCAGATTTTTGCTCCAAAGTGAAAGTTGTAGAAACCAGACCGTTAATTTTCCTTAAAAGAAATACCTAAATAGAGAAATGAATTTCTTAGTTTCTGCATTTTCTAATGAGTGATATTTTTTCAAATCAAGAAACAGGTTTGGGTTGCCTGATAATATTAATAATAATATCATCACTTTTTGTCTCTTAGAAATGCACATTTGATAGTAGCTTGAGTTAGGATGCAGAGGTACATTTTTGTTCATTATCAAAATCAGTAACATCTCTAAAAATTGTAGCAACCTCAGTTTTATATGGTCAAATTTTTTCTGACCAAGTTTTTATTTATTTATTCATTTTTAATTTAAGCATCGGTCTCCCATATTTTAAAACATACATTTAAATCATGATAAACACAGTTAAAACCACACATATAGCACCTCAACACCATTGTAAAAATATAACAGTTTTTTAGGTAGCCTATTTGTATGAAAAACAGCAGTCTAAAAACATTCAGTATAAATGCACACATGCTATAGCTTAATCACAAATACATACTACAATTATATAGGCCTAACATTACTCCTGTAATAAAATTCAGTGTGAATATCCCAAATTTCTGCCACAATAACATGATTATATACCAGTGAATTCAAGCGCTTCACACTGGATCTCACAGCGCTGCTTAGTGCTCGAGTGACCGATTAAACACATCTGCTTTAGTGAGCTCGCGCTGCGTGGCAGTTTGAACTTTGATCCGAGCGGATAAACGGTCCGTGTGGTTTTCTTTTGGGGGAATTGTTTTTTATATAGATACATTTTTTGTTACGCCATTAAGAGGCGTTACATCATGTCTATTTCAGGTATCCTAGCACATATCAATGAGCTGAAATAACAGATATAAACAGCTTGGCAGGTTTAGCAAGCAATTTTACTCACTCTAGGCCTTGTTTATTCTGGTGTTGGCTAAAAGACTTCCACTGTAAGTGCATTACTGTAGACACATTTGTTTTGAGTTATTAGGTCATTCATACCATCACTATCATCAAAAGTGCATTCACACAGAATCTGTCTTGTGTCCTGCATCAGAAAAGAAAAGAAGGCTTATGCTTACTGATGTTTCTACGGGAATGAGAGCAGTGGGCTGACATTTAGACAACGCTAGCAGGAACAGAGTCATGCAGAGAACAGACAGAAGACTCACGGGTGCGAATGCGCCGTCTCGAAGCGCTCGAAGGTGTGCGTCAGGTCGTGCTTGTTGTTCATGTAGCACTGAGTGCACAGGTCGTAGTCGAAACACACCTTACACTTCCAGCGCATTCCCATGATGCCATGCTTCTTACAGCTGTCACAGATGATGTTTGAATGTCGGACACCTATGAGGAAGAAAGGGAAGTGAACACAAGGGTATATTAAATGAAAGATCAGCATGTCGAATTCATTTCATAAGGTCATCTTCTGCTAGAATCCAGCTAGCGCTGAAGACGACAGCAGCGCAGTGAGTCTCTGAACACGCTCATGGCCCTTTAACGTCTGTCTGCATGGCTGTTTTCCAGAGGCTTTCACTCCATTAATCAGAAACACGTCGTTTGAGGCAGATGAGACTGGTTTTAATGATGCGGCAAAAGCATTAAGCATTTCCTTATAAACACAAGAGCCACAGTCTCCTGCTGAAAGATAAAAAGAACTCACACACTAAGGCTGCTCAATTATGGCAAAAATTATAATCACGATTATTTTGGTCAATATTGTAATCACGATTATTTAACCTGATTATGAGTGGGCCATATGACCAAAACTTTATGAGTGACTTATTTAAAGATAGTGATATATCAAATACAGATTTTCTGTAAATAAGATTGCTATGACATCTACATTTTAGAGACCAGCGAAATTTCACACTTCTCAATATCACAGCAGAGAACTAGGGTATAATATTAGCTAGTAAAAATTAAACAAACAAAGTCCTCAAAATTAAAGGGGGCGGAATGGGAGCAATAATAGTTTTATCTCGATTATTGTGTATCCATAATCATTGTATTTCGATTAATTGCACAGCCCTATCTCACACACTCTCACACTCAAGCACACACACACTCACACACGCACGCACGCACGCACACATTCACTCACACACACACTCGCACACACAAAGTCACACACGCACACACTCGCTCACGCACACACTCGCTCACGCACTCACACAGTCACGCATGCACGCTCACGCACGCACACACACACAGTCACGCACGCACTCACACATGCACACACACACTCTCACTCAGAGTCACGCACGCTCACGCACACTCTCACACACTCACGCACGCATGCACTCACTCACACACGGTCATGCGCTCACGCACGCACGCACACTCTCACACACATGCACGCTCATGCACACACTCACTCACACACAGTCACGCACGCACACACTCACTCACACGTGCACACTCACACAGTCATGCACGCACGCTCACGCACACTCACACACAGTCACGCACACTCTCACTCACACACACACGCACACACTCACTCACTCACTCATGCATGCACTCACGCACACACTCACTCACATTCACACACTCAGTCACGCACGCTCACACACACATGCACGCTCACTCTCACACAGTCATGCATGCTCACACACACTCACACTCACACATGCACGCTCGCGCACACACTCACTCACTCACACACAGTCATGCATGCACGCTCACGCACGCACACTCTCACACACATGCACGCTCACGCAGTCACGCACGCAAGCTCACGCACACACTCACGCAAGAACTCACAGTCACGCACGCTCACGCACACACACACACACTCACACATGCACACACACACTTGCACACTCACACAAACACGCACTCACGCACGCTCACAGTCATGCACGCACGCTCACGCACACTCTCACACACATGCACGCTCACGCAGTCACGCACGCAAGCTCACGCACACACTCACGGCGCTCACGCACGCACGCACACTCTCACACACATGCACGCTCATGCACACACTCACTCACACACAGTCACGCACGCACACACTCACTCACACGTGCACACTCACACAGTCATGCACGCACGCTCACGCACACACTCACGCACACTCACACACAGTCACGCACACTCTCACTCACACACACACGCACACACTCACTCACTCACTCATGCATGCACTCACGCACACACTCACTCACATTCACACACTCAGTCACGCACGCACGCTCACACACACATGCACGCTCACTCTCACACAGTCATGCATGCTCACACACACTCACACTCACACATGCACGCTCGCGCACACACTCACTCACTCACACACAGTCATGCATGCACGCTCACGCACGCACACTCTCACACACATGCACGCTCACGCAGTCACGCACGCAAGCTCACGCACACACTCACGCAAGAACTCACACAGTCACGCACGCTCACGCACACACACACACACTCACACATGCACACACACACTTGCACACTCACTCAAACACGCACTCACGCACGCTCACAGTCATGCACGCACGCTCACGCACACTCTCACACACATGCACGCTCACGCAAACACTCACGCACACACACACACACTCTCACACACATGCACACACACACACACTCACTCACTCACACGCTCACACGCTCACACATGCACGCTCACGCACACACTCGCGCACTCTCACACAGTCATGCACGCACATGCACACACTCACACACACACTCACAATCTCACACTCACTCACACATGCACACTCGTGCACACACTCAGTCACACATGCACACTCGCGCACACACGCACGCACTCAGTCACGCGCACACACACAGTCATGCATGCACGCTCATGCATGCACACTCACACACATGCATGCTCACACACACTCTCACACACTGTAACGCACACACTCACTCACACACACACAGTCATGCATGCATGCTTACGCACACTCTCACACACTGTCACGCACACACTCGCGCACACACACTCACGCACGCACGCTCACGCACACACTCACACATGCACACACTCACACATGCTCACACACAGTCATGCACGCACGCTCACGCACACTCACACACATGCACGCTCACGCACAGTCACGCACGCAAGCTCACGCACACACTCACGCACGCACACACACACACTCACACATGCACACTCATGCACACTCACTCAAACACGCACTCACGCACGCTCACAGTCATGCACGCACGCTCACGCACTCACACACATGCACGCTCACGCACAGTCACGCACGCAAGCTCACGCACACACTCACGCACGCACACACACACACTCACACATGCACACTCATGCACACTCACTCACACACGCACTCACGCACGCTCACAGTCATGCACGCACGCTCACGCACTCACACACATGCACGCTCATGCACACACTCACGCACACACACTCACACACATGCACACACACTCACTCACGCACGCATGCACACACTCACTCACACACACGCTCAGACGCACACATGCACGCTCACGCACTCTCACACAGTCATGCACGCACATGCACACACTCGCGCACACACTCACGCACAATCTCACACACACTCACACATGCACGCTCGCGCACACACTAACGCACACACGCACGCACTCAGTCAGTCACGCGCACACACAGTCATGCATGCACGCTCACGCATGCACACTCTCACACACATGCATGCTCACGCACACTCACACACTGTCACACACACACTCACTCACACAGTCATGCATGCACGCTCACACACATGCATGCTTACGCACACTCTCACACACTGTCACGCACACACTCGCGCACACACACTCACGCACGCACACACAGTCACGCACGCTCACGCACGCACGCTCACGCACACACTCACTCACTCACACATGCACACACTCACACAGTCATGCACGCACGCTCACGCACACTCTCACACACATGCACGCTCACGCACACACTCACGCGCACACACTCATGCAGTCATGCACGCACGCTCACACACACACACACACGCTCACGCACGCTCACTCACACGCACGCACGCACGCACTCATGCATGCACTCGCGCACACTCTCACAGTCATGCACGCACGCACACATGCACGCTCACACACACACGCGCGCACAGTCACACGCACGCACACACTCACGCACTCTCACACACAGTCACGCACGCACACACTCACGCACGCACACTCTCACTCACGCACACACTTATTACTTGCGGTTACCAGGAGTTTATGGAGAACATATTCACTATTATTGAGAAAATATTGAACATGTGTTCCCTATTCTAAACATTAGTTAACCACATTAATTAACATCAAGTAACAAAAAAATAGCATTTTTCTAATGTCAGTCAGTCAACATTGTCAACATTTACTAACATGAGCAGAAGTGATATTTTTCCATGAGTTGCATGTTGCAAATGTGATGTTGATTTCATAGATCAGTTCAATAAACAATAAGCTATTATTAAATAACAGTTAGACACGTATTGTCTGTTTTTGCGTCTTCAACAAAAATAGCTCCAAAAAAGTGAGTTACTGAATGATACAATGACTCCCTCAATCAAACAGTGATGTGTGGCCATGCTGTCTGTAAGTTAGGCACAAGAAAATATTATAAAATATTTTGTGCCCTTTTGCCGAAACAGTGTGATTTTTATTAACCTTACTCTCCATGTTGCATTACGACTGCATCACTACGTTGTCAAAAATGTAATATTTACAGACAAATGTACTGTGCTGCATCTAATTAAAAGAGTGTTCCTGGCGATCGTTAGTTGTGCTTCCTGGCATTGATGTGTTATATATAATTTGTTTATATATTATTTCTATATCTCCCCAAGACGCTTCAAGAAACCTCCTGCAAAGCTCCTGAGAAACTCTGCTCAAGTGCACCGAGGGCAAAAGCTGCTTTAAACACAAAGGATGCTCACACCAAATGTTGATCTCCTTTAGTTAATAGATAAAGAAAATGTATTTATGACTTTATATTTGACAGCATTTTTACACAAGTGCCTAAAGTTCTTCTGGATTGAGTCAGTCTCAGTTTGTTCTGTTTCTTCATGTGACTCCAGACAGACTGATGATGATCAGATCAGATCTCTGTGTGCAGCACAAACATCTCACTGCATTATTACAATTAATGGCCAAATGAATGTTTGGAAATGTAAACTGATATTTTCTACTGACACTACAGCAAAAGATAGAAATAACTGACTTCAAACCATTTTTAGCTGGTGACAGTACTAGTGTTCTAATGATTTTGGCCACCGCTGTGTAAGCTTCTGCAGCTGTTGCAGGGTTTAGCATGGCTGTAACTGGAGGAGGTGTTGGGTCTCACCGATCTGTGCGTTGTCGTACAGCAGCAGGTCGTAGGCGCTCTGGTATCCGGTGCGGTAATTCGTGCGAGTGCCGCTGTCCCACTGCACCACCACAGTTTTGTCGGGCGTAGTGGTGCTGCCCTGCCGGCCGATCTCCACCACCGTGCCCACATGCCCCTCTCCTTCATCCTGGTTCCCCCACTTCCAGTCCAGGCCGCGCACCACGCGCATGCCCACCTCCATGCTGCCGCGCACCGGCTGCCCGCTGTGGCCCTCGCTAGGCTTGCGGTGCGCTCGCGGGCCGGCGGTGGCTGCTGGGGGTCGAGGCGCAGCGAGCGGAAGGGTCTCTGGAGACAGATCAGGGGTGACTGGAAACACACACAAGGACAGAGAATATCAAGTAGGAGCTGCTCCATTATGACAATCACGATTATTTTGGTCGATGTTGTAATCACTATTATTTAACACGATTATTAGTGGGCCATATGACCCAAACTTTAGATGGAAGATTTATTTAAAGATATCTATCAAATATGTGACCCTGGACCACAAAACCAGTCATAAGTGCAGAGTAGTGTCAATTTTCTGAAATGGAGATTCATACATAATCTGGAAGCTGAATAAATTAGCTTTTGGCTGAGATACAACTATTTGAAAATCTGGAATCTGAGGGTGCAAAAAAATCTAAATATTGAGAAAATCATCTTTAAAGTTGTCCAAATGAAGTTCTTAGCCATGCATATTACTAATTAAAAACTAAGTTTTGATATATTTACGGTAGGAAATTTACAAAATATCTTCATGGAACATGATCTTTACTTAAAGGGTTAGTTCACCCAAAAATTTAAATTAGTCCATAAATTACTCACCCTCAAGTCATCCTAGGTGTATATGACTTTCTTCTTTCAGACGAATCCAGTCGGAGTTATATAAAAAATTGTCTTTGATCTTTCAAGCGGTTTAATGCCACTCAGCAGGTGTTGCATGCATCAGTCCAAAAGAAGTGAAATAAAAAGCGCCCTTCCATAAAAATAAAAAGTCTCACACACGGCTCCGGGGGCTGAACAAAGGTCTCCTGTAGCAAATCGATGCGTTTTTGTAAGAAAAATTTCCATATTCAAAATGCAATAATCACTTTAATGCAGCTTGCGCCAGCAGTTGTACACAGAAGCAGCTCCAGGCGGATGACGTATGAGTTCAGCGCTGCGCATGCGCCGGTGAGTCTCGTGAAAGCCAGCGTTTGTTAACAGGAGCAAAGGAAGCAAAGTTTCCTTACTTTAGCAAAGGAAAACCAGTCTCCTCTTGGCTTATATCCAAATCCTCCGACATTCTTCTTTACAAATCCTCGTTTTGTACTTCTAATTAGTGACCGTTGTTTTGTTTTGATCTCTCCGCTGCGTTTCCGCGTTCGTCACTTCTGAGCGGCGCATGCGCAACGCTGAACTCATACGTCATCAGCCCGGAGCTGCTTCTGTTTACAACAGTGAGCGCAAGCTAGATTCAAGTGATTATTACGTTTTGAACATAAATATTTTTCTTACAAAAATGCATTGATTCACTACAGAAGGCCTTTGTTCACCCCCCGGAGCCG